TTTTGGCTACTTTCAGCTTTTTTCAGATAATTTCCTCTTTTTTGTGTTCATTCTTTTAGTCTAATTGGGCAAACGTGTTCTTTCTGCTTTCTTCTGCTAATTTAAGCTTGTTCTGCATTTTCAGCAAGTTTTTAGAATATTTTTAGCTAATTTCGGCTGTTTTCAGATAAATTCAATTTTTTCTTGATAATTTCTGTTACTTTCAGCCTACTTAACTTCTTTATGCTAACTTCAGCTTGCTATTCTCCTTTCAGCTTTTTTCTGCTTAACTTTAAGCTTTTTCTGCTATTTCAGCTTAAAATTAACTATTTTCGTGCTAAATTTAGCTTTTTCAGCTAATTCCACATGTTTTAGCTCATTTCAGGTCCTTCCACTTCCTTCTTATAGGTTACGATTCCTTCTGCCGTTTCAGCTAATTTTTAGCAGGGTTTTTGTTTGCTAATTTTAGCTTTTTCAGCTGATTTCCAAATTTTTGTGCTAATTTCTGCTTATTTAAATTTAATTCAGCAAATATGTGTTATTTCTGCTTTGTTCTGCTTGTTTAGGCTTTTTCTTTCATTTCAGCTACATTTCAGCATGTTTTAAGCTAATTCCAGCTGTTTTTCAGCAAGTTCTTCTGCAATAAGCATTCACACTGTATTTTTGCAGGAAATGAAATTTCTCTGGTTACAAATTAAATTTCTCAACTGATTTTTTTTAGCTGTTAATGAAATAATTTGTGGTTAATAAGCAGAAAGGAGGTGCAGATTTAATCTAAATCTTTGTAAATTTACCCATCATCCCCCTGGCCTCGGATGAGACGAGAGTTTCTTACATCACCAACACTTCAATGGGTTTCTGGGTCAAAAATCTAAATGTTGGAGAAAAAAAAAACTGTCCAGTGTCGCAGTTCTGTTGTGCCTGCTTTCCAAAAAGTAAAACTTTTTTTTTTTAATTGATAAAATGACTGAGGCCCAAAGATAAAATTAGCTAAACTGTAGCTAAATTCTAAAACTAGCAAACGTAAGGCCAAAATCTAAAATTAGAAAAAATTATGACTAAAAGCTAAACCTGTGAAAATGAGGCTAAAAGCTCAAATTTGCTAACTGAAGCTAAAATATAAAAGCAGCAAGACAGACTACAAAAATTAAAATTAGCTAAACTGTATCTAGCAGCTCAAATTTGCAAAGTTAAGCTAAAAGCTACATTTTGTAAAAAAATAAGGTAAAATTAAGCAACAGAAGCTAAAATCCCATATTAGCAAAACAATAGCTAAAATCAGTAAAGCTAAGACTAAAAGCTAAAACAAGTCAAAATAAGGCTAAAAGTTCAAGTTAGCAAACCACGTCTAAAAGTTAAAAATCTGTATAACTGAAGCTAAAAGTTAACACCAGCACAACAATAGCTAAAAGCTAAAGTTAGAAAAATGAGGACCAAAAGCTAAAACCAGTTAAATTTAGGTCAAAGCTCAAATTCACAAAGCACTAGCTAAAATCTAAAATTTGCTCGAGATAAAATTTGCAAAACAGAAGTTTAAAGGTCAAACTAGCAAAACTATAGCTGAAAGCTAAAATGAGCAATATTGGGGCTAGCTAAACCATGTCTAAAAGCTACAATGTGTAGAAATTAAGCTTAAAGATAAAATCAGCAAAACAATAGCTAAAAGCTAAATTTTGCAAAATTGAGACTAAAAGCTAAATCCGTATAAATTGAGGCCAAAATCTCCAATTCACAAAACAGTAGCTATAATTTGCTCAACTGTAGCTGACAGATAAAGCTAGAAAGACTCAGGCTTAAACATAAAATTAGCCAAACGGTTACATTAAATGGGCGAAATAGTAAAACTATAGCTGAAAGCTAAAATTAACAGTACTAGGGCTAAAAGTTCAAATTAGCTAAACCATGTCTAAAAGCTAAAATTTGTAGAACTGAAGCTAAAAGTTAAAACCAGCAAAACAATAGCTAAAAACTACAATGAGAAAAATTGAGACGCAAAGCTAAAACCAGCTAAATTGAGACCAAAAGCTCAAATTCACAAAACAGTAGCTAAAATCTACAGTTAGCGCAAGATAAAATTAGCAAATTTGAAGTTAAATGTCAAATTAGCAAAACTGTAGCTGAAAGCTAAAATTTGTAGAACTGAAGCTAAAAGATAAAACCAACACAAGATTAGCTAAAATTAGAAAAAAATAAAACTAAAAGCTAAAACCAGCTAAATCGAGACCAAAAGCTCAAATTCACAAAACAGTAGCTAAAATCTAACATCAGCTCATTATAAAATAAGCAAAACTGAAGTTAAATGATCAAACTAGAAAAACCAAGACTAAAAGATGAGCAATACTGGGGCTAAATGGTCTAAAAGCTAAAATTTGTAGGCTTTAAGCTAAAAGTTAAAACCAGCAAAACAGTAGCTAAAAGCTAAAATAAGCTAAACCTAAGAGCTGAAGCCAAAACACATTTGTGTTAACATAACCAAAAGCTGAATAAAAGTAAATATTTTAAAAAGTATGAAGAGGAAAAAAGAAAGTCGTACCACCCGTCTCTTGAACAAGCCGAACATTCTGATGCCTGAAAGGTTAAAACAGCTGAAAATCAGCTGAAGCATAAAGGACCAAAGAAACGAATGGTTTTGAGTGACCGGCTCGCTCCTCCGGTTTCCTCTGAGTGGATTCATTGATCCAAACGTCGGTTTCAGAACTTGTCTGTTTCGTATAAACAAGAGCCGGAGATCGGCTTCTTTACTTCTAGCTTTGCGTCACGGCTCCATTTTCTGCAGCGAAACGCACAAAGAGGAAGCGAGCGTTCGGAGGAAGCTTCCCATCAGAGCTGCGTTTAGCTGCTCCTGGGAGGCGCCGGCCTGTTAAGAGAACGAGGGTTGATATTCAGCTTCCAGACTCGTCACAGATTGCTTTCCGTGCCCGTGAAGGAGAGAAATGGGCAGAAGTGGCCCCCGTGTTTATCGCTGTTTATTTGTCTCTGCTGGTTTATTAGTTTGTGCCTCGCAGCTTTGTTTGCCTCCAGCTTGCCTGACAGCTTGCCTCCCATGGGAATAGAGTGGCCTCGGCGTCCCGGCTCTAAATATACACCCAATTTCACCGAATGCTCAGCGCCGATCGGGAAAAGCCTCGCGGGCGCCGAGAAAGGAGGCGGTTTCTGTGGAAGGAGATTTAGTTTGGTGAAATCGGACGGCGGTCAACAAATAAACGATTTTAAGTTTTGATGCGTGTCGTTTCATTGGAGGAAGAGTTGAAGTTAAACACGGGTGGGAAAGACGAAAAAACAAAGAACAAAATAAGTTTAGTATTCACGAAGGCGTGCCAAATTATATTTTCTGGAGTGTTAGCTGTAACAAATTGGATTTGGCCAACAGTAAGTTTTCCAAAGTTATTTGTTTTTGCTGAAGGTGCATTTTAGGTTGTACAGAATACACAGTTTATACCGTTTAATTAATTTTTTTTTATCGTAACTTTCAGCAGAGATGCAACGAAAATGAACTTAGCATAAAGAAAACATCAACGGTTTAAATGAAAGCAAAAGCTCCTTTGTTTGGTTTTAACGTGAGTGTATTGATGTAATATGTTTATATAGAAACCAAAACTATATAAGCAGAAATATAATAGTGTTTAAACTATTTATGATTAAAGGCATGTAAGCCAAAGTTGATTTAAAAAAATGTTAAAACTCAGGGCTTTTAAACAGTTTTATGATAAAACCAACATTGGAAGTTTTGAAATGGAGTTCTGTGGAAAGATTATAATTAATTAATATCTTACCTGCTGCAGATAGATCTTTGACTGGAGGACCTGTTTAATTCTCAGTGAACTAAACGCTGATTTATACTTTACAAGATGAAAAAAATCTATTTTCATCGATTGTTGTTTAATTGTATTTGAAAGGGCACATAACAGCAGCTATATAACCAAAGCAGCTTGCTAGCTATAGCATTTCTGGTGCAGTCTGGAGCATTTTTTGCAGGATAAGCCAAACGAACAACTTCGTGTTCAACTAACTGTCACGGAGAAATTTGTACAACTGTGCTTGCATTATCCGCCTTACTAGTTTTTGAGATTGAAGTTGTTTTTGTAAAACGGCTCTCCACTTTAGTCTCAGCTGCTGCTCGGGTTAGCTGCTAGCTCGTTAGCCCAATCAGATCCTCTCCAAGCTGAGGTGGGCCAAAGAGCTGTCCACAGGTAAAAGTCGAACGGCTTTCTCACGGTGTCTCAAAGATATCTTGGCACGTTTGCAACAGTTTCCTCACAAGTTGCATTCGTGCATTTTAAAAAAAATTATTCATCAAATGTGCGCGGCAAGTTTTTTTCTCAAACGAGTCACAAAATTATTGCGGTTGTTTCCAATCTGTCTCAAGGGCGGCTCTGACAAAAAGCAGACCCAATATATATTAAAATAACAAATAAACACGCGTTTTGGAAACTGAAAAGAGTCGTCACGACTTCCTGATCGCAGACACTCAAAATTCACTTAGTCTCTTATTTACACAGTTTCAGTCTCTACCACAAGAAACCCAGTGAGCCTGTGGGAAGTAAGGGTGCGGAGGATGCTACAGCACCCCCTGTTGGCTGGCAGAGGACACACATGTTCAAATGGTAGTTAAAGAAATAAGAAAATCAGCGTTAAGCCATGATCACAGTTCTATAGTTTTAATGTCAGACATTATAAATTACACAATTGTCTTTTTTAAGGGTGTTTTAAAGTCTTGCTCCCAAAATAAGTTCCCACGCCTCTGCAGCCTCATTTTACCTCCAACACCTGTCCACTGTGAAGTAAAACACCTGAACAGTTATGTTTATTGTAGAGTGAGATAAATTAACATATTTTAAACACTTTTATTAATTATCCCAACATTAGCTTGTTGCTACGATGGATGTGTCATAATCACCTCAAACTTTCTGTTTTTTTTACTGATTGTTTGCTGCTGTAGTTCTGATCATACTTTGTTTCTCATAAACGTTCTGACTTGTGTCTCCTCTGTTACCATACCCCCCCCCCCCGCCCCCCTGCAGCTCGGGTGTGTGACAACGAGCTCCTGCGCTGCCAGAACGGCGGGGTGTGTGAAAACAACGTCCACTGCAGCTGTCCCTCGGCCTACACGGGCCTGCTGTGCGAGAAGCCCCGCTGTGAGTCGGAGCTGGGGGGCTGCCGGGGCTCAGAGTCGGGACAGGCCCCCCTGACCCCCCCTTCCCTCTGCTGCCTGCTGACGCTGCTGACGCTGGGTTCGGCGCTCCTGAGAGAGGCCTCCTGCTGGCTTTGAGGAGACCTTAGTGGGGGTGACACGCCTCCCACCGCCTTCACCTTACCCCCCCACCCCTAAAAAAATAAAAGACCTGCCTCAAGCTTTCGGGACTGTGAGCTTCTCTGCTGCCGGACTCAGCAGACAACGAAGGACAAAAAGTCTCCACTTGATTTCAAAGAATATATAAAAAATAATAACATATACGTCGAAAAGAAGATTCAATATTATTAAAAGTATGAGTAACTGAGCGTTTGCCTGTTAAGAAAATTAAACAAAAAGCGGTGAGTCCCCCCCCACACACACACCCACACCTACCATCCACCCCCCCATCCCCCTCTAAGCCATACAAGGTACGTGAGCTCCTTCCTGTTTGAGAAGGAACGACTGAAGATGACAAGACTCGTTCACTTCCTCTCATCGCCACGGCAACAACAGCTGCAGCCAATCAGCTCTTGCGCAGTGGTCCCTCTGGGGTGCTTCTGCGAGCTAACGTTTGCTCTGGACAGACGACGAAGACAAAACAAGAAGAGCAGCAAAGACTGCCCTCGGAGACAAAACGGCGTTCCACAAAAAAAAAAAAAACTGAACCAGGAAGCATTCTTTGCTGTCAGTGCATTGTGGGTAGAAGGAAAAATCTGACCGGACTGAACTTCGTCCACGTCCGGTCTTTCTGTCTCTCTGTCATCCTCCTTCCTGTTAAGCCCCTCCCTCCTCCCCAATGCCACCACCGACCTGTGCGTTCGTGAACGTTCCCCGCCCCGTAAGCCCCTCGCCGGTTGACCAGTCCGACGTTAGCGATGCCCACGTGTCAGACGACCCCCCTCGTCGCTCCCCTCCTCCTCCGCCTTCCTAAAAGATAATCCAGTAAAGCCGTGGGATTCTGTTTCCATCTCGGAGGCCGATCGTGCTCAGAGGCGAGTTTCCACCTGAGCAGAGAGGAAGCTGCGATAAGAACCCCGACAGAAGCGTCGTGTAGTCCTTTTGTACCTGCCGAACTGCGACTGGAAAACAGGCCACCTTCCCTCAAGACATCCAAACGCAACGGTTTTATTTCTTTTGTTTCTTTTCTTCCCTCATCTGTTCTTTTATTTACTTTTTGTTGTGCAGTCCATTTTCCTTTGTATTGGCAACGTGCTGGCATCAAAGAATATTAGTTTAAATATCCAGTATTAATAAAGTGTACTAAAAGCCCACCAAAGGACATGGTCAATGTTTTGTTCTTGCTTTAACACTTGAGAATTTAAGTGAATAAAAGTCCAAAACCTAAAGCGTTGCTTTTATTTTGACGACATTGACAGTTTTCTGTTGAGGAGCGATATCGTGAAATTGTTTTAGGTGTGAACTTGTGCCTACCTCTACTTCTAACAGAGTCACCCCACTCCTGCTTCGATGAACTCGCATTATAAAGTGTTCTACGTCAGATGCCCTTCCTGACACAACCCTCAACATTTACCTGGGATTGGGACCGGCACAAGAGATACACTGGCTTGTGCTCCCTAGTGGCTGGTTTGGATGACACATGAGGTCAGGCAGGAATCCCCGTGGATTATGAGGTTTGCAGATGACATTGTGATTTGTGGTGGGAACAGGGAACAGGTGGAAGAGAACTTGGAGAGGTGGAGGTATGCACTTGAAAGAAGAGGAATGAAAGTCAGCCGTAGTAAGACAGAGTACATGTGTGTGAATGAGAGGGAGGAGGTGGAACAGTGAGGCTACAAGGAGCAGAGGTCACAAAGGTGCAGGACTTCAAGGACTTGGGGTCCACTGTCCAGGAAAATGTGAGAAAAGAGAGTCCAGGCAGGATGGAGTGGATGGAGAAAAGTTTCAGTAGTGACTTGCAACATAAGGGTGTCAACAAAGGTCAAAGGAAAAGTTTACAAGACAGTGGTGAGACCAGCTATGTTGTATGGTCTGGAGACAGAGACATGGACAAAAAGACAGGAGAAAGAGCTGGAAGTGGAAGAAATGAAGATGTTGAGGTTCTCCTTAGGAGTGACAAGGATGGATAAGATTAAAAATGAGATCATCAGAGAGACAGCACAGGTTGAACAACTGGGACATAAAGTTGGAGAGGCCAGACTGAGATGGTTAGGCCATGTCCAGAGGAGGGACAGTGGTTAGGACATGTCCAGAGGAGGGACAGGGGTTAGGACATGTCCAGAGGAGGGACAGTGGGTATATTGGTAGAAGGATGTTAGAAATGCAGCTGCCAGGAAAAAGACAAAGAGATATGTGGATGCAGTTAGAGAGGACATGGAGGTAGATGGAGTGAGGACAGAGATGGAGGAGGACGACTCGCTGTGGAGACCCCTGAAGAAGTTGCCAAATGCTCCTCCAGCTGTTTCTTACTTGTATCTCTTATTTTTACAGTCTTGTGCTGCTCCTGGTCCAACTTTGAGGCAAACCGCTGCCGTCAAATTCAAAACGAAACCACCAATATTGTCTAAAAATGTTACTTTTTTGTACTTTCAGCATTAGAAATGTTTACTATGCACCGTTGTGAGTCAAGTGTGAGTTTATAGTGTTTGTAATCATCATATTATGCTTTTATTTAAGTTTCACACATTACTTCCTGAGTTTTATTCAAATCCATTAAATATTTTGCCAACACTCTTAAAGGCAAAATTTATTCTTCCCTTTCATCCCTGCCAAACTTGTGCAGTGAGTCTTGTTGCAGCACATCAATAACCTCAAATGTTTAGATAAAAATATATGTTATTGTGTTATTTCTTTCAGTCCTGGCTGGAAGAACGGACCTCAGCTGATAAAACCTCTGAAGTCCAAGTGAAGATATCAGCAGATTCTCGCTTTTTCATTTATCGATTTGTAGTTTTCAAAGTTACAGAGGGAGATATTTCTTGTTTGTGTCTGGGCCCGAGCCACTGAAATCACTTTAAATCTCAAGAACAAATTTAATTTAAAACTCCTTTTGCTGTGAAATCCTCTAAAGTGCCTGAAGTGAAAGAAGAACCTTGTCTGAACCGTTCACATTTCAGGGTTTAAGTTGTGCTGCTGGAACTGGTAAACTCTCTGTTTGAAGGCATAAAAGAGAGTGAACAGATAGAAATGTACCCCTGAGCTACAGTGTGTCGTGACAGTGGGGTGAATTTAAACCAAAGGTTCAGCTCAGGTGCTGATGCACCGGACTGTGTGGAGGATGCCAACCCACCTTGGAGCGCACCATCCCTCACCTCGGGCTGTTCTCTTCTATAGCCCCTCTGGCAGAAACGACTGTGTCGTCAGTCAGTAACGTCTCATTGTCCATCTTCTACTGCTTGACTGTGGTTCAGACATAGAAACATGTCCAGGAGAGAAACCCAAGCAACACCCTGCAGCTCCTCCTGGGGAACCCTAAGTCGTGTCCGGACCAAAGAGGATATAAAAGGGTTTATGCCGCCCGATTAACACTCAACCTCGATGGTCCTCTTTGCAGGTGGTGGGCCCACATGGAGGTAGCATCTATTAGGGTTAGCCCATATGAGCCTCAAGAGCCAAGGTTTCCCATTTCTAAGCTAGGTTTCTTGATAGCTCTTGGTCTGACCCCTCCCCTAAGGCTTGTTTGCCATGGAAGACTCTACCAGGGTTGCAGGGGTACTCCAACCCCTCCATCTCTTTAAGGTGGCGATTCTGCAACAGAGAAAGCTACGTACTTCTGAATGTTTGATGTATTTGTTAAGATATTGTTCATGTCTGAAGCAGGCTCGGGAGAAGCGATCACCGTCCATTTAAGAAGGTTTATTCTGCACGCATGGAAGGTACAACGTTTACCAGCCCCGGACCATTAATACCTCCCCATGTGCTCAAAAACAATGGCGCCAAGCGTAGAACACAACACACATCTTCTTCAGAGCTTGGCCACACCTCCCAGGAGGAGTCACCACCGTCGACGAATGGGAAGTCCTATCCTATCATGTGACCAGCCCTCAACCAATGAAACCTCGCCATCTTGTTTTTTATAATAGTGCGTGGAGGTTGGGATTTGTAGGCGTGGAACTAAAAACTACATTCCCTATACTGGAAACGGATCAGATGTGTTTTAACACGATATCATACTAAATAAATAAAACTAAATACTTATCCACACATTTCATTAAGCTAATATTTCATTCTAATGAAAATATACTTCATTTTCAAATAGTGTTTTTATAAGAGGTTGTAGAGTGTTTCTGTTTGTCTTCCACAGGTTTAATAAAGTACATCATTTTGCTGGGAGCCATGTTGGAATTTTTATGTTGCGGCTGGTAAGAAATCTTTGACTTTTCAAGTTAAACATCCAACTTTATGGAGAGTTCCTGATACTCCACGCCTCCAAAAGAAGCTGCCTGCAACAGGTCTCCATCAAAAAAAAACCTCAGATTTTCTTTGATCCAAGAAGAAATCCTAAACCACCTGCAGCCGTACCACCTTACATCTTACTTACCTCTCCCTCCTTTAGCTTTGTTTGCTGCTTAGTGCCAATTTTGAAAGTTTAAAGCTATTTTTATTTATTTAATGGCGCTCACCAGAAACAATTTTGTGTGTAAATCATTGTTGTACCTCGGAAAACTTCAATACAGCAACTTTAACATTAAACTGGGCTGTTAATTGAAAAGAGTTCATTAATTGCATTTCCTGCGAAAATGCATGTGAATGCTTATTGCTGAAGAACTTGCTGAAAAACAGCTGAAATTAGCTAAACGTGCTGATTGTAGATGAAATGGAAAAACAAGCCTAAGTTAGCAGAAGAACGCCGAAAGAACACGTATTTGCTCAATTAGGTTTAAATAATAAAAAATTAGCTAAAAAAAAAAAAAAAAAAAAAGCTGAAATTGGCAAAAATTAGCTGAAAAGTATATGAAATAGCAGAAAAAGCTGAAAGGAGCATAAAGCTGAAATTACTATAAATAAGTTAATTAGGCTGAAAGTAGCAAAAATTATCTAAAAAAATTTGAATTTATCTGAAAACAGCTGAAATTAGTTTCAAATTTTCTAAAAAAAAAAAAAAAGGTAGAACAAGCTTAAATTAGCAGAAGAACGCAGAAAGAACACGTTTGATCAATTAGGCTGAAAGAAGCAGCACAAAAAAGT